TTTTCCAACGCCACCATCGCCAAGCACAACAATCTTAAAGAGCATCATCTTCTCGGTATATGTGTATGATATAAAGAAAGGAAGGGTTGTTTAGTAGAAAAGAGGAGAAGCAAAAGAGCAAAGAGGAGGAGATGTGCTATCAACAGGCAAAGAGGAAGGGGGGTAAAAGAGAGAGAGAGGGGGGAGAGAAAGAGAAAAAGCGAGATTATAACACAATACTCTAGGAACAGCTGTAGGCAGTTTAGCAATTTGTGTGTAAAATGCTACATGGAAATCTTTATTGTATGACTATTGTAATAGAGCATTTTTGTACTTTTCTGTCTTCAATTTTTGATATACAACCCCTTGTCGCTCTTGCTCTTCATCACAACATAACGTCTTTTTGGATCAGGATAGTCTAATCCCAATGTGTAGGTCTCGTTCTTCAAGATATCACTAGTGCGGAAATCATCTGCAAGCGGACACAGAGAAAAGCGTGGGGATGTGAGTTACATGTTCAAAGGGCCGTGCACTACTACTAGGATATAGCTGATCCTTCTCATACGTACCTTGCTCTGGTTTTTTGAGGACGTGGTATGAGACTGCCATCACAAACTTGACTTGAGACCACTGTCCATCAGTCAGCCCAGTTCGCTTTTGCAGACGTCCCTTGGTTTGGTTAAATGGCTCGTCCTATTGCAACAAGTTGAATATATATATAACTTGCAAATCAGCAGACCTCATTTAAACTTTTAATCTGTATTACCTTAATTATAAGAAATTTGAAGGGAATAGAATGTGTTTGTGTCAAGATCTTTTCATAATGGTACACTGTGATATAGAAGTCTTCTTGACTAATATTGCATTCCTCTTTTGGGGTTATCTAATGGAAAATTGTATTACTACCATCTTGCAGCTCTCTCTGATACAAGCTTACCTCGGCATACACATTGTCAGCATCTGGTCTCAGCCAATGGCCCACGGTACATTGCATGCCAATGGTCTCTACTGTCGCCCCATCATCTCCCACCTTGAATACGCGCACCCTCTTATCAGGGCTGATTAGATGGCACATTTCAGAGACCAGAGCATTTTTGGAAAGCAGGAATGCTTTTGTTTGTGGCTGATTGAGTGTGTCGCAAACATTGATTCGATATATCTTCTTGCCTCGAGCATCCGCTAAGCTCATGGGGAGTACATCGTAATACAGTGTCCACTTGCATTGCTTGAGATAGAGTGCGTCGCTATCATCATCCTCTGAATCGTAGCCTGAACACAACTGCAGAGCGCTTCGCAAATCCCAGCTACGATTGATGTTTTTCAAGAAGGGGCCTTCCCATTCATTTGCGTACAGCAGTTGTATGTGATCAGGATTTTGCTTCAAATGACGAGCCACCTCGGTAATCACTTGTGGAATAAGCATGTCGCTATGCAAGGTCAATTTGAATGGCACCTCGTGTACTCGATTATACGCAGAGTCTCTGCTCATGAAATACACATTGACCTCAGTCAATAGGAATTGATAGTAGGAGGATGCATCACAACATTTGCCAGCTTCGGACAGCTCTTGGGCTCTATTTCAATTAGTCAGGCGTACATTAACGGCTATAGACATGTGCGATGACTTACTGGGAAGGTGTTAGATGTCTTTGGAAGCATATAATGTCACCATTCCTGAAACCGTAATCTTCGATTACAAGAGACTGGGCCAGTTCTTCCAACTCGTAACTGGCATTTTCCTTCCAGGATTGCAACTATAATTTAGTACAGGTGATACAAGATAATCATCATTTATATAGATATTCACCTGGTACATGTCTAATGGCACTCCTTGTTCGAGCCCAACCATAGCATTCAAAGCACCTTGAATCGTGAAAAAAGGAGCGTCGGTCGATACATACAGTTTTCCAGCACCCCTATAACAGAAGCGTCAATTTGTGCTCGCAGACAAACCTAAACTTGAGTACCTCAATGTTTGTGTCACAGGGTCGTAGTATTTAGCAAATAAAAGAATATCCTCGGGATCGGTGGGAGCTTCTTGGATGGGACAATGCTCGATATAGAGTCGTAGAAATGGATAGCTTCGTTCTTTGCAGAGCCCTTGTAAACCTGTCATATCATGAGTACATTTTCGATTTGTGTGTGTACAAAAGTGTCGAGTTACAGATAGTATAATACTGTGGAGATATCAAGTAAGCGGGTCTCAATGGATCTTTTGCGGTTTTGGATTGGGGAACAATAATCCAAACTCTCGTGTCATCAATGTTTATGTTGTTCGCTTCTGTGTACTGCTGTAAAAAGTTGCCTACTGTCATGTCGCGAGGCCATCGAGTTTCTTGGTATGGACACCATTCGTTTTGAGCTAGATGATCAATAAAGCCGATACTTGTGTTCATCAGGAATCCGGCGTCGGTAACAATGTAAACTGTCATGTACAAATGCTGCTCTGCTCTCTCCTTTTCAACCACTTCCATGGCCACTTTTTCGTTTTCAATACGCTCTGATAGATGATGAGGGATGTCGTTTATTGTCACGGGTGCGAGGACTTCATCTTGACTGGAATCTCGGATATAGACAAGCATGTAGGCATTGGCTTCCTCCATGACGTTGGATGTGTTGTCATACGACGTAGATCGTCCTCCAAAGTTTGCTTCAAATACCTCATCCAAGCTGACTGGAGTCACTCTCTCGTCATTGAACTTGAACCTAAATCCGATATGATGGTATTTAGCCGTGATTGTTGCATCGTTTTGATTTGAAGTCCTACCATTGATCTTCTTTTGTAGGTCTTACAAACGCAAAGTAATGGCCACAGGTAATGTTTCCAGAATGCACCAAGACACTAATAGATGAGATTGAGGACTTTCAGTATATGGCTCATTACTTCATTCATATATACTTGCCCGTGTAATACGTATTTAAGCGAAGACGCTTGCTGTGCTTGGGATTGCTCTTCTCTGGAGATGTGGTACGGCTGCAAATCGATCTCAGCGGGGAATTCATGGCGATCATTAATCTATAAACACAGATATTAACCCTAAACGCACAAATTCAGGCACGCTTATACAAAACTCACCTTAACCATCGTATCCCTGTGCATGTCATAATCGAATCTCTTCAATTGTATCTGCAACACTGGAGGGAATGCCTCAAATATGACGCCTTTCTTCGCATCCTGTAAGCCATGTCCTTCTGCCATGTATTTGTTCTCTTTCTCCAGCAACTCCTCTCGAATATATTCCTCGAACGACTCTTTCAAGTCTCGGCATCCCTTCACGTTGAGCTGGATATCGTAAAATTCCTCGCTTCTTGACGATTCGTAATCCACATTGATGCACTTGATGTAACTCTTTGTCTTTCCCACAAATATCTTCTTTATAGTGCCTTCAGCTGGGGTATTCATCATCTTTTGTTCAATGTGCTCTTGTAATAGTCGATTGAATTCTTGCACGTCATGCTGTTTAAACAATTCATGCGAGTCCCATCCGAATGATTGCGTTATCTCGGTTGTCGCTATTTTGATGCAACGTCAGTTCTTGGACTGTACCAAAACCCCCATATATACTTACACACTGCGGTTGAAGAGAATTGCATATTGAAGAACAATCGCTGCAATGCTAATGCCACACTCTTTTGCGGATTGTCATTCTCCGTTGGAATTTGGTATACTGATTTTCGAAAGATGTTTGTAAAGAAGAGCGATTGGAACAATGAGTTCATGTAGCAGGTTGCTCCCTGATTATATAACCCAACATATCCAGCCGTCTTTTTCGAGTCGTACCTGTGATGCGAATGGTGAATGGCGATGGTCCAAGTGGCCACTAAACCCACACTTACACTTTGAAATTGTGCCATAGTACACCTGTAGGATCCTTTTTCAGTTGAATGATGCATTCAATCACCAATTTATCGTTGACCATAAAAGGTTCTTCAGCATCCAAGAGAATATCCCACTGCACAAACTCATGATATCCCCAATCTGCTTCATGTTGATTGAATCTATTGTGGAAAACTGATACACAAAGATTTTTCAGAATCATCTCGACATGTCTTGTGCTTCAACATACCTTTTGGTAAAGTCCTAGTAGGGTCTTGAGGGTCCAAGATGCGAATAGCCACTGCTGCGCAAGCATCTTGGGAGGATGTGTGGTTTTTGCAATCTACATTTTCTAAGAACAAGCCTATGAAATTCTCGCTTGTGGTGCTCTCTGGGTATAATACGAGCCTCCTATTTTTTATAGTTTGCTTTCTCAATCAACATTCATTTTGGTAGGGCCAGATCAAAGGATTACCAAGTGTAATGATCGTCAGTTTTGAATTCTGGGCTTTCAATTCGTTCGTTGTTGCTTCTGATGAGGTTTTCGATAGGCCATACGAACGAGTAGGTTCCAATAGTCTCTAGCTGATCGAATTTAGGTAGTACTTCTCTAGCTGCTTGTAGATCTGAATTATAGTTCAATTTTCGATTTTGATATGCATCAATTCACTCATTCTAATTCAAGTAAACACAAACGTACCGCTGCCAGATAGACTTGAAACATTCGAAATTTCTTTATATAAAGCCATCGTTTGCTGGAATAGATGCAGATGTAGATTGAGAAAAACGTGTGGAGAAGAAAAGGACAACCAAAAGCTGCTGTAATCTTGAATTGTCCTATTTTTTTACGAAGCCTTTTTTTCATTTTCAGAAGACGATAGGTTTGAATTTTTCACTAATACTCTATGGATGCAACATTATTTAGCTTATTATAAGCGCAATGTTTTGACTGACGAGATGGTACTTACTTGAACTGATGGCATTAGTTTTCTTTATCACGAAAAAATCCAAGACATAAACATTGTACTCGGCAAAAAGCTAAATAGAGTTTTTCGTTGGTGGTACCTTACTTTTTACGACGCGAATATTATTCTAGACGTGTTTTGGAAGGCCTGCCTAAAAATTTGAAAACATCACGTGATAATAATATACTACATTGGTTCCGGTTTATAATTTACATACAAAACGCAAAAACATACCAAATGCCTTCTTGGCTCAGTTGGCAGAGCGTCTGCCTAGTAAGCAGAAGGTCAACAGTTCGATTCTGTTAGCAGGCATTTATTTTTTATTCACGTTTAAATAACGTGATACGTTTCTGGGAATTTTTTTTATCCACCCCTCTTGTCGGGATAATACTAGTGTTACGGGTGATTGGGATGTAGTGTAGATAGTTTTGTAGTAAAATAGAATTCAGATAGTAAAAATGCCAAGCAGATCTAGCTATCAAATGAGCACCAGGTTTATAGTTGTCCAACTAGTAATGAATAAACAGAGAAGATAAAGTAGAAAATAGAAAAAGATACAATAATGTATATGATAAAGTGTACAATGAATTGGCTATAATAGATGTAATAGGAATTCAAGGGATCTTACAAATAACAGTTGTAAAATAAAGAAATAAGATAAAAGATGATAGCTAATGAGCTTCAGTAAGAATATGTATTGAGATTTAGGTAATGTATAAGATGATTTTATTCAATTGATTCTTTAGATTTTACGTTATTTATACTTTTTAGTTATTCTATGTGTCTGTTAGAGTGTCCTGGCTATCGAGGACAAAAATGGGGATTTGATGATAATTCTGTATAAGCATCCTTGATTTAACGAAGGATGGCTTACTTAATTCTACTAGGGATTGATAATGTTGGGTAATGAAGCATAATTTAAATATTCTAAAAAGATGTGCCTTGAGACGGAGTGAATCACAGCGTATCTGGCTGGGAGTGTAGCACTTCTTCGATATGATTCTTTCATATTATTATATCGAGTTCTTGGGTTGGATTGTAGGAACAGTGTATTTTATTGCGAATGGTTTTAACAGAACAGACAAAAAGAAAAGGAAAGAGATCAGGGTGGTCAATGTTACGATCCGTAACACTAGATATAAATGAAGTTCTAGATATGAGTCAAAAAACAAGGTTTATTGAGTTTGATAATATTACAGGTGATTGTAACACTTATTTTAGCTCAACTTACTCCTTTTGCTGCCCTCCCTTGTTGTTGTAACTGTCTTCTATCAACACTAGAGCTCATTTGCCAAACGCCCAGCTACGCCGCAATGCTATTCGTATCTAACACATTTTCCATAGAACATTTACCCTCAACTCTAAAATTATGCTTCATAATTAAACTTTAACAACAAGACTTAGCCTTCTTAAATAAGACAGATCAATTTGTTTATTTTCAAATGCTTGGGTTTGTTTTTGCAATTCTATTCCACCAGTTGGCTGGCTTTTGAGAGGTCGCATGATTTAAGATAGAAACACCCAATTTTCAAAAAACCAATAAAAAATATACAGACGTCTCAGAAAACCATGAAAAAAATATACGAGTATCCGTCGTCAGAGTATGAACTACTCTAATAATATGTATAATTGTCTCAAATCATTCAATATATGAGTGAAAAAAATGCTCTTCAAAGTCGAGCGAAATTGCTTGAATCTCTCGAAACAACATGTAGTCTATCCAAAAAAGGTGATTTTTCACAGTGTGATTTTTGTTTTAACTAATAATATGCTAATCCCCCCTACTGTATATACTGTGTTAACAGGCTTAGATTTATTCAAAATTCTTATTTCCAGGATAGTGAATGTATTTCATTATGTCTGATACTTATGGTGGTATCGTGTGTAGTTACCTTAAGCCATTTGTACCATGCATTTTGAATGTTTAGTCTTGCTTTTCTCATTTTAATTACAGTTTTAGTTTCAATATCAATGCTTTATTTCTCTGAGCTGTCTCCAAATTTGAGCCAATTACAACGCTTTATTTGCCTTACAGACACCCTAGGCCAGAAAAAAAAATTGCGAGGGTTTCCCTCTGTTTTGACGTTAGGCGGAGTTTTAAACATTGCCAGATAAAGTAATTTAGCAATTTTATCAGCAAAATCCTCTAAAATGCCAGAATATGCCTTACTACACACCCCAGCTTATAGTGCAAACGCTTGAGACTCTCAATTAGCACCAAGTAAGTGATACAAATCAAGTGAGGGCTGCCTATCTACCCTCAGCCTCTGAATCAAATCTAGTTGTGCTTCAACGATAGGCTTATCCACACAGCGAAGAAAGAGGGTCATGGCTCAAAGAACCATGAAAAGGAAGGGAAAGTAACAAGAAGGCATCACTAGAATGTGATGAGGAACAGAAACATCGCAATACAGTTACATACAAAAAAGGTAACATACAATGTGTATCATCAAAATGACGAGTACAAGAAAGAAAAAAGAATCGTGGTTGCCTCATACGAAGCAAGAACACCAATACCACCACCAGTATTACAGAAAAAGTAATACTTGAAGAACAAAAAGAATGCAAAGCTACTCCACAATAGAGCAGCACTGCCAGCGATACAATGCATCAAAGGATAGATACACCATAGCACTATATGGTACAGCAACAGAAAAATAGTTGCGTCGTGCAGAAAAGGAGGAAAAAATAAATCGCAATAGAGCAAACTAAAGAATGCACAGTATCACGAGAACGAAAGTAATAGAAGGTTGAATGAATGTAATCCATGGCAACCGAAGAAGGGGGGGAATATACAAACCAAATACAAACCAAAAAACACAATCAATATATCGTAACAAACTGACCTAAAATAAATTTTGTAATTAGTATTACTGTATATTATTGTACCGCGAAAAGTGGCTCTTATCGACTGATACCTACTGTAACAAACTTCAAAGGTGTCATCTTGGGTACTGGTTGTTGCAAACACATGCGTCTTTTGATAAAAGTGGTGTTGTATTCCATCAATAGTAATAAAAAGTATATGGTTTAATAGAAAAAGTGCAGTGCAAAAACAGTGCGAGAAAAAAAAATAAAAAAAAAAACGCGTTGCTAAGGGTGATTGCAGTCAATAGGCTGCCGCAGCACAGAGCACGCGGAATCTGAATGACGTGTATAATAAACATTTTGCACTGTGGTGACTGTACCCAAATGATTTTTTTGCGATGATTTTTTTGAATCAAAATCGATATAATTTGACATTTGTAAACATTTTTGTTAAAATTAGCTATAGAAAGTGTGCTCAGCGTATACTACTTTCTAATAAACTTATGGGGAGAATTGAAAGGCGCATTCAATGGTGTTAATCTTAAAATACTTTTAGAATGAAAAGATAAAGAATTTTGAGAAAACATAAAAAGCAGTTTTTCCAAGAAAAGTCGAGATTTATCATATACAACGTTCAAAATAGCAATTGCACAGGTTACCCTACATCTGTGCGGTCATTTTGAGTTCATATATATTATAGTAAAATGTGTCGTTTTCGTCTCCAAAATTGCGATCGTTTGATTTTGACAAAAACTTTTTTTTTTTTTGGATGATATTGTTTTATTAAAATAGTAATTAGAAATAAAACAAATGCATCGAAGTAATGGACAAGTGTATGGGATCAAAGTGACTTGCCATGTTAATCTTGGTAATAAACTAATGAGAAAGGGACCGAAGATTGGACAATCTTAGCAGTTCTGTGCGGATGTGGCGACAGGCTTGGATGGCATCAAAGGGAATAAGATCATAGAATTGGCGATAGTGATGTCGCCAGATAGTGCGCATAATTGTGGCGAAGAAGTCATAGATGGTGATGTGCAGGTCATGGTGATAAAGGTAGTATTGATTCAGTCTGAAACGCATAATTGAGCTGTAGATCTGCTGATTTGGGATAGCTGAGGAACTCTTTGAAGGAGGAGTCCCAGACATCTAGTTTATGGACGCACTTGATGAGCAGGTGAGGAGCATCTTCTATTTCATTGCAGAGGGTACAGCGGTCGGATGCAGCATGTTTGAGATTTCGTTGGGCCATAGCCAGTTGATTAGAGCTTTGTTTGTGTATCATTCTATACCAAAGATTGCGGGCGGAGTAGTGCATGGTGTTTTTGTAAAAGGACTTCCACTGTTGTTTCGTCAATTGGTTGCAGAAATGGCGACCGACATTGAGATTGGCCATGTCAAGAATGACAAAGCGTAGCTCTTTGTTTGGCAATTTGAAGATTGCACGCTGCTGGTATACCATGGAGTCCACAAATGGCAGAAAGTCCATCTCACCATCGTTGTTGTGGTGCACGAAGTGGCAAAATGATAGCTGGTTGTTCGCTAGGGCACGTCGAACTTTGGTCTGGGTGGTTGGAGCTGGGCATTCGGACCGAGGTCGAAATTGGAGGTTCTGTTGGACAGGATCGTAGGTGAAGAAGTCGCGGACACTACTGCGCCTGACTGAGTCTTTGTGCATGAAATCCAAGTCTGTGGTAGCGTCAAAGTGGTTGAAAACCGCCAGGAGGGGAAGGCTCATGAGGGTACTGACTGTGGGACGGCTGGTCCAATCTCGATGGTGGCTGCATGTATCCAAAGCATTGAACATGGGTAGGAATGGGTGGAGGCCATTCAACGTATTCTTGTAGCGAGCAGAAGGGAACAGGAGTGGCAGGGCATGATGGACGGCATCATTTGTGAGACGAAGGGCATGTGTAAGCAACTGATAGGTAAATTCAGGCAGAGGACCACGGTTGTCAGCAAGTAGGACTCGTAAGTATGATTTTGACAAAAACCATGAGGGGTACCTCATGAAAAAACGTGAATTTTCATCGATTTGGATCGGCCCAAAAAAAATAAAGGTAAAGGTCCAGGATGTTAATGGTGATTGATAGCAATCATTTGGCATTATTCCCAGCATCTAGAACGGCTTAGAAGACAGGATATTGAAGATTGAATTTTGGCATTTTGGCTGGGAGAAATACCTTCAGTGCCATGTAGATCCACCAAAACTAATGCTACAAATCTGATTCAGACTTCAAACAGTTGGTATCTTTTGGGACTACAAACTGATTATTATCAGACAAGAAAAAGCGATGGGACCTTTGTCTATGCTTTACTTTAAAAACGCTCAAAAATCATAGGTAATAAAGCCTTACTTGTTGTCATGTCTCAACGCACCTTCTAATAGGCTACCTCTTAAAAGAAGTGTCATCTGCTGTTCATTTTAATTCTTTGTATATCGAATATAAAGTTGAAGTAAAATTTACGTACAGTTGAAGGGTTCTTTTATATAATATCGATGG